CGACAATGGGCGACCCTTCAGACAACGGATAATAAATGGCGTCGCGACAGTTTCCTTCCTGAAAAAAGAAGGTATATATAGGAATAGAAGAAGAACTTGGATCCGGGAGCTAAGAAAGGTTCGTGTCTAGTTCTCGGGGGAGTGGCGGAAATAGCACCTGGGTCCACTCTCAAAGCTGGCACGCCACATAAATTCCAATGGTTCGCTTGCTTTCGGGCTTACAAGTTTGGCAAATTTGTGAAAATTACTTTTTGTTTATTGTGCTGAAAGCAGACGGGAAGGCGCTAAGCTCGGGGCTGAGGCCAAGGAATCGGAGAGTCCTGCCGAAGGACTTGCCCCGCCCCTTAATCCTGGCCATTAACATTGAGTTGTTCTCGTTGTGGTTTCTTGTTTTTTTTTCGTTTGGGGCTCCTGCCCTTGTTGTTTTAATAATTTGTTCCTTAAAGCTTCGCCTACACATGGCTCGTAAATATCCCAGTGCGTTGTCCTTGTTCCTTTTTCCTTTTTTTTGCTGTTGCTGTTTTGGTTTGGGGGAACAATTGTTGTTTTCACACCATAATCATAAAAGGTACAAGCATAATTATTATTTTTATGTCTCTGCCACTTATTGTAAAGCAGCAAATTGCCTGACCACACATAAAATTCCACCCCGGCAGGATCCTACGTGGGAGTCGTCCTTTATGATGAGGCAGACCTTTGAGGGAGTCTGGGTCCGAGTCTGGATGTCTGTGTGAAGTACATAGTTATACCGCTTGGGGAGTGGCAAGTTGGCTGGGAAAAATTGTAATTTCGGTCCTGTCCTCGCTGGCTAACTAATGTCCTCGCCCGGCGCTTCCTGCTCTCAGTTAGTGAATATTTATGATTGCCAGCCGGAGAGGAAGCGGAAGAATACAAGAGCATCCTCCGCAACTCTTTCCTTTCCTTTGTTCCGTATTCCTCAGGCTTTATTTTCAGGCATTTCTTAGTTCTCCTGAGAGGTTTATGGCTCAACTAAATTATAAAAGATATGAATGAGGCAACTATGCTGGGACCTTTATTTTCGCAGGAACGGCGATGAGAAAACTAATTTCGCCTTAATAATAAACGGAGGTGCTGTGGGAGAAATTAAAAATCAGACACCTACTAAATAAGAGTTTAAAATGATCGATGTTGTAATCAATATAATCGAAATTTTGTAATGTTTTTCAAGCAACGATAGGATATCTACGAAACGTAGAAATATTTAAAATTATACTTTAAATGTTAAAGCTTTAAAAGAATATTCTATAATTTCAATTTTTAAGTGGTTCGACTCTTTCATTATAGTCACTAATATTATTTTAACAAAACCACTTTAAGAAATGGAATTCCCTCATAAATTAACCCTTAGCGAAAATGCTTTTCCACTTGAAGAATAAACAAACTGCGCACTCTTTTCGCCACCAACCCCGAAACCATCAAGTCTATATCTTCACCCCAGACCGGGGCTTAGGAAATCATTCAATTGTGCAGGTAAATGGACTGCAAGCGACAGTCCAAGACCTCCGCACCCAGTCAGACCCATAAAAAAGGGTTAAAAGTCCAGAAATGTTTCACATACAATTGCACAAACATCGCAGTCGAAAAAAAAAACACAAAACCCCTGCAATGAAAGGAAAGCAAAAAAAAAGAAAGAAAATATCCGAAAAAAGCGAAAGAACGCAAAAAAGGTTGCCACGTCGTGGTCAGACTTAATCACTTTTATCCGGACAGGCCTTCGATGATTCGTAATCCTTTTAAATGCCCCTCTCGGGCAGATTTATTAGCTGCACGTGATAGTGGTCTCTCCTTCGACAGGAAAAAAATGGCCACGAAAATCATCAAAATCCACGCCCCGAGCTCTCTTAATGCTAATTTATGGACGAGCTGGGTTCGCATGAGGCGTCCAACTTATTCATGAGCTGCCTGAAATATGGTTCCATTTAAATGTGTGTATATAAATGTATATTTCCTCTTGGTGCATTTGCAAATCGTTGGGGGAATTATAAACTTTGAATGGGGTGAGCGGCAGCGTCAGCGGAAAAACCATTTTAATTAGTAAAAATCCTCTCCTGCCAACGTACCGTATACGTAATATTTATTCTGGCATGGTCGAAAATTATATGCGAACTTGGAAATTTTACGGAAACGGGAAAATAATATTAAATGACATTTTAAATTAGTAGTATTTAAATATCTAAACTCCTTTTACTCGGCGAAACATTAATAAATTCAATTAGTTATCTTTTAAGTATTTAAAAAAAAGTAATTGTAATGATACCTATTTGCGATTTTATTGATACTTGATGTTATTTATTTATTTGGAGATTATTAATTATCAAAATTTCCGATTTGATTAAATAGATTAAAACAATTTTCCATCTGTGAATGCTAATATTTTCCCTTAAATTTTCATTATTACGAAACCCCACCGAATTTCGATAGATAAAAACGAGTAAGATGGTAAAAAATTTGGCAAAATTATGGCAAAACTTTTCAACAGTTTTTGAACAATAAAAAGCAAATGGCGCTGGATAGAACTTGCAGCAGGTCTGCCACGCCCCCCCCTCCATCCTCCGCCCCTTATTTTGTGTATGGAGGGAACCGCACATTAGTAGTTAGTGCAAGCAGGCGGTGCTCTAACTTTTGAATAAATACAATAAGAGGTGGAGGTTCTCCCTGGGCGCCACTTTAGACAATGAAGCGTATAATGCTAAATATCGCTCTGGCAACCGCATCCAGCTGTCGTCCTTCGTCCTTCTCCCCGCTTATGGTGTTATGGTGTCTCTTCCACCAACTATCCTGAATAATTTTGTGCGCTGCGCGGTTTGGCAACAATTGCTTTCATTATGGAACATTTTTTGTTCGACTGGAGGTGGAGTTGGAAATGGAGTCGGAGGAGATGGGTAATGGAGATGGAGATGGTGAGATGGGGCTGGAAAGTGGTTGGCTCCACCTTGGGAAACCCCTTGATGTTGTTACATTTACTCCTGCTGCTGCGGTTTCCGCTCGCCCGTTGTTTGTGCTTGTGTATTTTGTATTTTGTATCCTGCGGCCGCAGATACATTATCCAAAATTTGCATAAAATAAATAAATTAAATATGCCAGACATGCGGTGCGCCGTTGGCCGCCAGGAACAGCCAGAGTTGTTGGCCTGGCCAAGCACGCTGAGGAAAATTTCGGGTTTAATTAGGAAATGATTTAATAATATATTTTTTTAGTGACATTACAATTACCATTTTTTATATTAATTTTATCAATATTTATTATCCTATTTGTTTTAACAGGAAGGGTTTTTTACCCAAAATATTTTAAGTTCAAAAGTAGTTGAATTTATCAATTATAATCAGTTTATAACTTTTTTTTTTGTTAAAAAAAAGAAAGATTTTTAAAATAATTTTTTTAAAATCCTTCTGATTTTCCTCAGTGTCGTTGATCTTGCTTCATTCCTTCAGTTGGCCGTTCAAAGTTTTCATTTTATTATCACGCAGAACTAGAGAGCGGGTGGCGAAACGGGTGTCCCAAAAGGGGGGCTATTTCCAGGGGTTGTAATTTGGGGGGTAAGAAGGGATACCGGCCCATCGAATAGCTGCAGCATTTTTGAAGTTGTCCAGGAGTCCGGGATGCTCGCTTGCCGGGTCCTGGAAACGTGGCAAAAAGGCAGCCAGGATGCGCTACGTTGCGTTTGCTTGTCATGCTCCGTTGCGTGATTTTTGGCCACCCCCTGTCCTTCAGCCAACCACCCACCTCCCCAAAGGCCTCCACCCCTAGGGATGCTTCATGCACGAGTTGTTGTCCTGGCTGCTGCTTTTTGGCATCCACAGCCTCATAGAGCACATGGCCGTAGTCTGCGGCATTAACTTCATGCCGCTTCATTTTGTTGGCCATCTTTTTTTTCGGCTTTTTGTAAAGCTTTAGCTCCCCGAAATGGCCGCTACAAAATTGGTTCGTTTGGTCGCCGAAGGCACTTAAATTTCCCTCCAGCGGCATTTGTTTTTACAGCTCCTGTTTTTGGGCCGTTGATGTTGATGAGGATGGTGTTTTGGCGGTGGGTTTGTTGTAGTTCAATTTGTGCGCTGCGGTTTAATGAAATTTAGTTGTTAGTTGCTGCACGTTTAGCTTTGCATAGATGTCCGCCCACTCCCATTCCCCTTTTTTAGACCCGAAAAACCCATCGACCAATTTTCAAACGGATGGGCGGTCCACGGAGGCGTATACGTGATGTGGAATTTGTGTATGTTAAAGGGTAATTGTTGTGGGAAATGGGTCTACTATGAAGATATGGCTCTGCCCAAGGGGATGGGGGAAATTGGTCCGAGTTTGCTCTTTTCGAGCTGATTGAAAGGATTGTGATATATGAGTGGGGCACATTGTTCTTACGTGATGTGGGCCTAAAATTAATAGCAGAACATTTTTCATGATATCTAATGTGAACGTGAAAGGCATTATTTATCTTTATTTTGTTAATTAGCTAAAATCACAAATAGTATTTAATACATCAACATTAATAATGAGCAAACAAAGCTCTGAAACTATAGGAGTTTAAAACTAAAGACTTTTAAGTAGGTCATGAATGTAGCAAACACGTAAATTACATATGCATGAACTTTCGCATGAATTAAGTGATAATATTTGTATATTCATGCTTCAATAGTACCATTAATAAATAAATTTAATATGCAGCTTAATAATTAATAAAGAAGTTGCAAATTGAATAACGGATATGATATTGTCGAAACATTTAACATGTTTTACATTTTTTTTTTGGCATTTATGGTGTATTTTGCATACTTTTGGGCATTTCTTTTTTCCGAATTTTTGTATTTTTGCAAATTAATATATACAAATATATAAAACGGAGTGCAAAATATAAGCGGGATAAATGAACGATTTTAAGCTAATTTTAAGAACACAATTCACAGTTTATTATCACAATAGCATTAACATCGTTAATTGAATAATATTTACAACATTTAAAACTTAACAATTACAAAGTTCATTTCTTAGGGGTTGACCAAGTTTTGGCGGGAAATGCTAGTGGCTGGGATCACTTCGGCAGGTCCAGTCGATGTCTCTACAGGAGGATTTTGGGGATTAGCTTGGGCATTTTGGCGCTTTCGGAGCAACTCCATCTCAAGACGACCCAGTGGAACCTCGACAAAGAGATGCATGAACAAGGACACAAATATAGTGATGCCAAAGTCCGACCAGAAGCGAAGGATCTAGAAGGATAATAAAAAAATATGATTATTATTATGAGGAAAGATGATGTTCTCAATTAACTTACAGCATCATAGTCTGAAAAGTGAAGACTCGTTTTGATGCGCGCTATATGAACCGTTTCAACCAGCAGATGCCATATATATAGACAATATGATAACTTGGAAAGGGGTTGCCAGAAGGACCAACTCAGCAGATCATTGATAATGGGCGCCAGTCCATTCTGGCAAGCCCAGATGATCCAACACAAAGCCAAAGGCCAAGCGATACGGCTGCAACACAGATAGAAAGCTCCAGCGAGTGGGGAAATGGCCTCCACTCCATCCTGGGTGTAAGGATAAACGGCAAAGATCACGGTGGCCAGAAGGCAAAACGAAAGGATCCACAGCACTAGGGCCAGCCACTTGGGCATTCTACACTTTCGTCCATTTTGCTGGTGCAAAAAGTAGCCAAACAGCAGACCAATCAACCAAGGAGTGGCCCTGGCATGGGTGGTATAGTAAATCAGACGCATTTCGGGACTATCGCCACCAAGGTTTCTGTAAAAACAAATGTAAATTCAGTTTTTATTATAATTATTTACTAATTTATTCCTAACTTACCCATGGCGGTCAAAAACTTGAAGATCGCGCAGCATGACTATACTAAAAACGCAGCCAGTGAGCAAAAGGATCAGAAGGACAATGCCACCGACAGCCTTTTTGCCCCATTTGTAGAGAGCAATCAAAATGAGTGGAGAAATAATATACAGTTGCATATCGACAGCCAGATACCAGGAATGTCCCAAGCACTAAAAAATTAAAAATAATTATAAATTAAGTTAAAGGGTTATGAATAGGACTTACCATCCTACCAGGAGCCGCATAATTTTGCACATAGAGCAGAGTTGCCCACCAGGTGTCGCTGCAGAGCTCCGATGAGCTGGTGAATTGCTTCCACAGGGGACCGCTGTCCAGTCGGGGAAAAAGCGTCATAAAGATGAGCACCGCAAGGGCCAAAACTGGTGTCAATCGCACCAAACGATGCAAATACATGAGTGGCACATGGAGACGGCCTTTGGTACTGAGGATTATAAGATATTATTAATGGATCCTGATCCTTGTAATACACAAAAAACCCACCGATCCATCTCACGCAATGCGGTCAAAACCAGGAGCAGTCCGCTTAGTAAAAAGAACGTGTCCACCGAAGTTGTGCCGCTCTGAAAGGCCATTGAGAAGGGAGTCTTGGCCCAGGCCACGATCTCATAGGCGTTGATGTTGGGCGCCAATAGGAGGTACATATAGCCATGGCCCAGGATAATCCAAATGATGGTCAGGCAACGAATGCCATTCAGACACTGGATAACACGGGGCGACGGTGTGGTCGAGGTCTTGAATAATTGGGGTACATTTTTGCGAAGTGAAAATGAGCCCAGTAGCTTGCTTGAAACTTTGGAAGTAAATAATGGGGATTATAAATAAGACTTTTTTGTATAAATATTTTATAAATTTTACCTTCGGCATAGTCCAAAATGGTGGCCACGAGAACCACTATGCACAATAAGACAAGAATAGAGCTGAAAAATTTCAAAAAATATATTTTTCAGATATATTTTTACTAGTGCAAACAAATAAACTAATATTAATATTAAATTTATTGTATAATGTTATTAATTAATTATATATAAAAAAATACGAATTTGCAAATTAAATACTATTTTGGTATTATTTTGGTTCTTTGTTTCTGGTTGCCAAAAAGTAACCGACCGATGGTACAAAGGTACAAAGTACACAGGTGTGTCAAACGAAGTGTGACCGTATCCTATAGGTATTTTAATATCAAATTAATATTACCTTGTTATATCATTTCAAATGGAACTTATTATAACAGGAAATATAATATTATGAATCAATATGAAATTGATCTAATTAAATATCGTATTTGGCCCTTTATCTAAAATAATTGATGCACCTTAGTTTATACTAACAACGCGTTCCGCCAACTAATGCCATTGGCATTCAAAACAAGTCTAAGCGCACACAACCAGTCATTCCAGTGCATATTGCGTAAGTTTCGAGCAAACAAAGGCTGGAAGATATGATCTATCACCCTCTCCATACTACTTTTCTCAATGAGCTCTCCAGTTTTTTTTGTACTTACACTGCAAACCAGTCTAGTCCACCCATGGGGTTTTCGTGGGCCACGGAGCAGTCCTTTTCCACTACCAACGTAGCTCCCGTTGAGTTTTGGCCAAACATGTCCTGAAGATGACCATGAAGCCATCTACTCAGTTGGGCGGCACTGCAGGATGAGGGTATGCAGGTTCCAATACTCAGAGTAAGGGCTTCCACACCCACTGACTCCAGGAGAAGACTCTCAAACTGTAGATGGCTCAAACAGTACTTGGCTCCGGCATTGATGGTGATAGTACTTCCCAGACTTTTACTGAGATCCAAACTGAGGCAGGATTCATAGTTGCCCATGTCCATAAAGTGACCGTACAGCAGGCCTTGTGGGAACTTTCCCCAGGCGTCGAGAACTGCAAGGTAGAGTAGTTATAGTAAGTACTTAAGCACCTGTAGAAACTACCAATATGATCTCACCTCGAAGAGCAGGCAGGGATTTTTCCTCCGCTCCTTTCAGCAGCAGGCGAACCTGTGTTAAACAGGTTGCCTCCTCCACGGTCGAAGATTGGTTGTCATTCAGCGCCTGTTGAAGCACCTGATAGCCAAAATTACTGGCCTGCATCCAGGTCAGCAGATCCTTTGAGCTGTACCCATTAGCAGTGGGTAGTCCTATCCCCAGGATCACGATGAGGAAGAGGAGCGATGAGCTCGAGCAGCTTGATTGCTTGAAAACCATTTCTGTGTGCGACGGCCGTGACGCTGCGAGTGATATTTATACTGGGCTAGTAAGACTCTTACGCTGGCCCAAACGCTTGCCTGATATGGCTGATATTTCTAATCACCCGCGTTGAGCTCTCTCAGCTGCAGCAGTAGTCACTCAATAGCTCACAGGGTATCGCTGGGGTCTAACCCATTTGCATGCTTTTACTACCTGTTTGTTGATATCTGAGCAACGTGCGAGCAGCGATCATTGCGACGATCGCAAACAAATCGGTTCAATGACCGATATAGCAGCCAAATTAGATTCAATGCCACACATGATGGGGGATGTCCGTTGCGATGACGAACGACTATTAACTACTAACTGTTACCTATTAACTTTTTATCAATTCCCTCGGTTTCTAATTGCAGCATCACGTAATCAGTGGAGTGTGTCTAGTAAAAAAGCAGCTTGGGAACTCCCCCGGCCCATTGATGGGTTAACGTTAACACTTGACGATTGGGCCAATTACGTCAGTTTGTTTTATATTTCACAAATGGGTCAACAACCGATAACAGCGGTTATTCTGGCGAACAGATCAGCCAACGATAGAGGGGCACTACCAATAGTCACTATCAATTCGTCACTAGCTCAATCGGCCAAGTTGAAGTGGCTGCTCACCTTGGCAATCTACTTGCCATTTGTAATAGTTCACGGCAGGGTTATTGAACCCGCTGCCCTTGGAAAGGGCGATGCGGCAAAACTAACACAGCTTCGACGGCATTATTGCGCAATAATAGCCGCATTAATCAATATGCGATTCAAAATTTTAAGTATTTTTTTAACTCACTCAAAACAGTGTGGGTATTCCCAAGCGCTTCGAATTGTGAGTCCGCTAAAATAATACAACAAAACAAAAAAAACAACGAGTCTGGGGCGGTACACTTTCACTGCTGGATCTCTGAATGCTCTTGTCACGCACTTTGCCAAATAAAAAAAAAAGGTTTCATTTAGGGGGCTCGACTGAATGATACCTTTTATTTCAATTATTATTATTAACATTAACATTAAAATAAAAATAAATTTTGTAAACACAAATACACTTTTTTGTTTTTATTTAAGATAAAATATTTTTTTAAAATATACAATAATAGATTTATCACCTGACATAAATTCAATTTTTTCTACAAAAATTGCCGAAAAAAATTACAACTTCAATTTGAAAACAGAAATGATAAGTAACTAATTTTGTTTACCATTATTATTCGAGTAAACGAACCAGTTGGTTGATAAAATTACTACGTGACTTCATAAGCCTTACATCACCACTTATCAAAATCAAACAATAAAAATAATCAAAATTTGTGGGGTTCTGAGATAATTACAAGTGCCTGTTGATAAATACTTCCAAACATGAGTAAAACTACGACATACCCGTTTACTCAATGAGTTCCGTGTAAACCCATACAGAAATATATTTAATTATTTAAAAATTTGACTGGATAGAGCATTACTCCGCAAAAAATTGTGAGTTGTACATATGTATTAGGCTGGACCTCAGTTGTGTGCAAATATTTGGGTCATACTTTCACCCGGCTCTTACTTTCGGGTTTATCAGAAAGATAATTTAAGGGCCCAAACAGAACTCAATTTTACTTAAATGTAAAATTATAAGCATTTTACATGTAAACTTAGGCCAGCTATCTACGTTTATACAAAGAACTAAAACAGATTATTCAAATCCTTTCAGAATCACTTTGCCCAATAATTTTAACTGGATTATCAGAACATTAAAAATTTAATTAAATTTCCCCATCAGCGCGTGTAATTAAAACAACTTTAACTGGGAAAGTTGCACAGCTAAACCGCAAAACAGTTTTCCGAATAGACATGAACGTAATAGTAACTACGTTAATCCGACAGCTGAAAATCGTGGCACTGAAAATGCCTGAAAATACATTTAACTCTTGCCTTGCGCTAAGTACAATGTAAACCGTTTGCCACATTCCACAAAAACACACATGCTCAACCAGGAAAACCCAGAGACAAAACAACAACTTTGGGAAAAAAAGAGGGGCGGGGGTAGAAAGTAGTTAGAGGGGGTGGCAAGCTAGCCGAATTTCGACACATGTTGCCGCAATAAAAATGTCAACACACACATAAAACATCTTCTAAAATGGCATTTGCAGCAGGCAGCGAATTCCAAAGGACCAACCGGAAAAAAATGCGAATATTTTTGAAGCATAATAAATGGAGCTCAGCGTGGGAAAGCGTAGTCTAAGGGGGAAAAACTGAGCCAGGGAAATCCCCATCCACACGTGCTTAAAGCTCAGACTCACTCACACACACACTCACTCGCACAATGCTGGCCATTAAACACGCATTCTTTGGCCATAGAAATTTATAGACCAGAAAGGCAAGACGACAGTGAAAGTGTAAGAGCGAGTGAAAGAGGGAAAGCAGGGAGGTTGGAATGGGGATGGGGATGAGGATGGGAGTAAAAATGGGATGGCAATGGGTAGTGCGAAATGTGTCGCGCATCGAGTCGCGAGTTCTACTTTCACTTTCGCCGGAACTTTCATTCAAGGACATGGGGCAGACAAGACCACGACAGACACTAATGGCAGGCCCCGAAGCCAAAAAGAAACAAGCTTTCTATGCCCTAACTTTGGGTATTGATATTATATTGATTAAAGAATGTAAAGAGAAATTGCACAAAAATATCTATGCCTATTTTAAACTAACTGAATTTTGACAAAAAATGTTTTATTGACAAAGTTTCCCAAAATATTGCCAACATACATATTTTTACAGCATACTTATAGGAATTTTTTAAAGTAATTTCTTATAACTAGAGTTTTTATAATATCCCCAAAAATATTCTTAAGAAACAAAAATGGTTTTCTTTTGATTTTTAGCTATTTTTTTCAGCTTACTTATTATACTGTTACTCACCACTCTTAGTCAGAATAATAATTCTGAAATAATTATTAAAATTTTAATTTAAGTATTATAAAATTTTTTTTTGGATTTAAATTTCATTTTATTATTTTATTATTGATATTGTATTACGATATTTACAAATTCGGACTTTAGATGTGTTTTATTACCTTTCAGGGTATCCCCAAAGCAGGACATTTTTTTCATCCTTAACCAATTGTTTTTTAGGACAGCCAACATATTTTTAGTTTGTCAGCTGAACAGATCTGCGACCCCCACTCCCCCCTTAAATAAAATCCTGAACAGAATTTAAAGGAGAGGCCAAAAAAATCTAGTCTGCCGGGGCGTTTCGGCTTTAATGAGATAATCTGCGCTACTCGTCGTTATTTTACGTAATTGAAGGTTCACTTGCAGACAAGCCCCATTCTTTATTACCAAAAGTGGGGGGAGGGAATGGAGTACGAAGTTTTGGGGTCTGAGGTTGGGGATGTTGGCAACTGGCCGTAATGATAGTGGTGGGCCTGCAGCCTGTACGTGCGTGTAACTTTCTGGGGGGTTGGATGTTCCTCTTTTACAGCCACCGTCTTCCATCTTGTCTGCATTTTTCGGTGGAGCTCCATGGGATGGTAATCTGCAATAAATGAGGCATGTTGGAAGATTTATTTGATTGCTTTATTTAATATTTTAGAAAAGGCAGATGTTTCGCTACTCCCTCAGCAGGATGGAAGGGATATTTTGAAGCGTTGTGACTTTAGAGCTGGCGTTGAGTGGCTGACTATGAATTATGACGGATATAATGAACAATATGCGCATCTAGGGGCAAAGGATGGCAAAGGTAACCTGGTGAAAAGGTGAAAAGCATTTCGAGTGTGTGTTGAAGGCATATGATATATGATTCGGATATGAAAATTCTATAGACAATAAGTTATGGCATGTGTGCCATTGTGAAATTCCAACAGATAAAGGTGAGAATCATTTAATTTATGAGTGAGAAAGGGGGCTAAAAAATACAAATTAATATTTATATTTTAAAAAAGCTCATATTCTAAAAAAAACAATTTAAAATGTATTAAAGCTAGCAATGTGAAAAAGTATTTATATGTTTTAAAGCATCCTGCTTGGTTTTACAAATTTAAAAGAAAATATATTTGTAAAACTTCCTTAAAGCCTGTGCTGTATATCATAATATCCGCTACGGCTTTCAACGATGGGATACTTTAAACCTGTTCTTAACATTTCGAATCCCACCTTGAATAAATTTCCCTTCATCAATTCTGATTAATCCCAAGTCCGAGCCAGAAATCTCTGGTAGACCCAATTTGCAGGGCGGCGGCCCCCGAAGGGCAATCCGCAATTAAATGCTCCGCTCATTGCGACATCGTTTATCACTTCTCCGGGAGTCTCGGATTCCCCGATTCTCTAGGCTCTGTCCGCCATTATGGTTGCTTCATTACAAGCGATTAATTTTGATTGTTTCGACCAGAAGAAGAGCAAGAAAAAGTGCCCAATGAAGCACTGCAAAATTTCATCCTGAGAATCTTCCGTCTGTTGTTCTCTGGTTTTCGGTTTTTTGTTTTCCTTTGGATGGGAAGACCAAAGAAAAGGGCCATATTTCACCCAACAGGAGGCAGAGTGCAGGGATATAAGGACTGGGAACTGTGACCAGAATTAAGCACACAGGGCACAACTACACGAAAACGTAATAAAATCATAATCGTCGGATCAACACAGTCATCAGCGGTGTCACAACAGGCTACCAGGAGATGATGACGACAGAAGGCCAGGACGCAGACAGCGAAGGATGCCACTGAGGACCCAAGGAGCAGCGAAATTGCACAAGCAATTGCCAGGCGAAACTCAACGGTAATTACAGTAATAATTCAAAAGAGATTTGCCCCCACCTCATCCAAAAAAAAAGAGGAGTAAAAAAACAACTCTCCAGCCAAGGAGAAAAACGGAGGTACGGAAAACTAAGAGACAATGAAGGCGACGATGCAATCCAGAGGGCCAAAAGTGGCAATTGCCACGACCAGAGACAAAACGGTACAGTGGGGTTAGACGGGAGGAAAAATGGCAGAAACATAGCTAAATTTAAT